AATGTTACTTGTGGAATATTAAAGGACTGGGAAAAATACCATTTTAATTCTATTTTTAAAATATTTGTATTTAATGTTTTTGATTCGTTGGTCCCAACTGTTTACATTAGGCACAGCATAAGTTAATTTATACATATAGATGAAGAGTGACTGTTACATATGCATTTTTTCCCTGTTATAGCTATACAGTATGTCCTTAGTACTTATAGCTATAACTAGTCTATGTACTTCACTATGAAGTATGAAGTAAATTTCACTACTACTAGATAAGACTAGTTAAGACTTCATTGTGTTGAAGCTTTACTGGTGTGTATTTTAGGATTTAGAATATTTTCAAGTTTTTATTGTTTATTTGAATCAAAAACAGAAGGTGGTCAACTTGTCTGTAATCTTACAGTACATTGCATGACGCATAAGATGGGTAATTGTGACTCACTAACACATATACCAATGTCTTGGTTTTTTATCTCTTTATCTAACATGCAGTATTTTATGCAAGGTGAGTCACACTGTTTTAAGAGACAGATCCTGAATGTGTAATCTGAGTACATTCCCTGCCGATTTTATTGTGCTCTTTATTGTATGGTCCAAAAGGCTACGTTTCCAGGTATAATTGCACATTGCATCAAATTGTTTATTCCACCAGATGAATATTTTTTAAAGAGAGGAATATTAGATTTTAGAGCATTATTTTAAAAAAGGTGTTTTTCCATTCTTCCCATATACCCAGAGACATAAGCAGTATATTAAGTGTAATTTCTGTGCTGCTTCGTCTTCAACAAATTCCAGCTCACAGAAACCTTTGGATCTCTGTCCCTCTACAACACCAGGGATTTGAATTCGATTTGCAATCCAATTGGTTCTGGGTTTGGGAGTGGAAGAACTAGTGTCTTCAAATGGTAGGACTACATTTTACTTTTTTTTTCAAATAGCTGAGCTTCTCCCGAGATAGGATTACAATACTCAGTAAGATTTGTGGCTGGGTATGTTTTGTCTGATTAAGCTTTATCAGCAGCTATAAACTGAACTCAGACACATTTATGCAATTACATTAATCAGGGAAACAGTATGTAGTTTGGCTTCCTAGAGGGTGGTCTTAAATCCTAGAGAAGTGTTAACTATAGCTTCTGCAGCATTCTGTCCTTGAAGTCGGAGTTGGGGTCAATTTTGCTAATTCAGTTCCTTCTCCACATGAATTGTAGTTGCATATTAAGTTGTGACTCAAATTCTTTAAGCTTAAAATAATCAATTGTAATACCATCCCATGTACTGTATCTATTCATTAGTCCATGAATAAAGTATCGAAAGATGCACACCATATAGTTTTTATTTCATTTGTTTTCCCGCTGAACATAGCATAAATAATGATTTATATTACAGGCTGTGTACAGTACAGTATGTACAAATTGAAGACACAATAAAACATGTTGTATTTGTTTACGTTTGTAGGCTAGCTGGGTTGAACTTCGGAGGGGAGTTTTAGAGTATAGGTAGTATTGTAGATTTTGTATACAACCTGGACCTCAACCTGGTAAGAGTGTCATGCTAAACTAATCCATAATCAATTGCTATCACTTGAAGTAAACCTCGGGTATGTAATAATACAGCTGGCAGTCTTATCTGCACTAATTGAACCTTCTTGGTGATCTCTTCAAAGGGATTCAGTATTTCACTATTTCCATTGATTTCCAATTTGGATACTGTGAGCTTCAGCAGAGCATAGTCACAGTTTCCATGTTTGATGAATATTTGTTCCTGTTGTTTTTTTTCGTGAATATCAAAACTGACATTGAAGAAGAATTTACCGTACTTCACTCAGACTTTTCCAGTGAAAAATCCAGATACTGCTCTTGACAGTTTTGCCATCATCAGTTTGTTTCAGGGCATTGTAAATGATATTGCTATTTAGTGTGACCAAAATCAGCGCTATGCTCAGGTGAAAAGTCCAATTTCTCCCTCACAATCATTACTTCAGTATCAACAGTCTTATCTTGGTCTTCACCTCCATCTTAGGGATCTGTGGCCTTCAGACTAGCAACCCAAGGGTGTCAAAGGGCTTTCTTTAAAAAGGAGATTGTGTGAATGTACTGAACAACAAATTTAGCAAAATGACCACCATTACCAATTAATATCACCTTGCGATCATCAGCCCTAGACTGAAGATGAAACATATTCATGATATGTAATCTTGTATGGCAGGATTGGTTAGGATACAAGTGGAAAATGCTGAAATATTCAGCAGGGCCTCCATTGAGGGCTTTAAAATAGCATTCCCTTGTAGAGTGAATATACTATACTACTTAAAGAGAAAGAGTAGCTTAATTAGACCATTGTTAGTTAAATCACAGTGTGTATAATCAAAAAGCTTTTAGAGTTGAAATTTTTTGTTATCCTGTTTCTCTTTCCGAAAATCTGTATGCATCGAATAACCCTGAAGCTGTGATGAAAGTCACTTCCCAACATTGCACAGCATCCAAAAAAAACATCGCTGTGTTTTTGCATCTGAGCAAGAGAAGTACAATCACTAATCAAAAACTGTGAGTTGGAGTTCTGGTGGAGGAGAAGCGTTTGAAGAAACACACCTTCTTCTCTCCCTGGTTTTGGTTTTGTCAAAAAATGAAAAATGTAGGACCACGAGACATTAATGAAAGAATATTTTCACCTCCTCAAGGTTCAGTTAAAGGATCTGTATAACTTAATACGAAAACATATATTTGTTTCATGGTCATTTTGATGGTATTCTGAAATGTTCATCAGGATGTGATGTATTCGGCCCACAGGTCTGATTAGCTAAACCCATACATGAGTGGTGAGAATGTTTGATTGACTGGGGATATTATAATATTCTTTATTATGAATTAAACTTACATATGGGTCTTAAATACAGTGGCTTATCTCAGGATATTGTGCTGCTCAGGTTTGCCCTAGTTCTTTAAATAAGGTTGTATGGCAATTTCCCCCTTTGTTTATTTATCTTTTGAGAACGCATGTTAATATTTGCATCACCTTTGTCATACTAATACTCACTTGCAATGATGACAGGCAATGTCTCAAGAGTCCTGTTGGTACCTGTTGTTGGGATGATTTTCCATGATTTACATACAGGCGTTGTATTTTACAACAAAGCCTGGGCTACTGTGAGAATGCTATTCTTCAGATTTATTAAAGCAGTTTGATGTAATATGTTTGTTCACACATGGAGTTAAGTGGAATTGTGGGATTAAGATGGATTTGATTGATTCCATTTGCTAAATTCCAAAGCTTTGAGATTTTTGGCAGTTCCAGTTCCAGATAAAGACATTTTTTCTTTATTATATGTGTTTTTCTATAAAACAGCATACATTTCAACATGTAATATTGAAATACTAGGAAATCAAGATATGCAATTCTACAGTACATTTATTGTGGAAGAATCTTATTCAGTGTAATTCAAAAGCATGATTAACTTCTTGATGGTCAGGAAAAATAAATGTCAGAAAAATTACTTACAAAATAGATATCTATTTATTTCAGCTAGATGTTTAGGATACATTTTTCTCCAGCCTTGAAGACACAATAGACATTAGGCACTAGTTTATCCCTGAATGATTGAACAAACTCCCATCAGATTTGACAAATGTCACAGGAAACAAAATCATTGCTTTCACTTGTCTGCTGTACAATCAATGTTTAAGACGTAAGTGTGAAGCTGGCTGTACCAGGTGTAAGCATTGGTATGCGTGCATCGTGTAAATACCCATGCAAAATATACTGCCATAAGGCTCGCTTCACAACATATCAAAGTTTATTGCATTTGCATGTTTTTTTTAAATAGGTACAATATAGATTGGTATTCATAGTCTTCTTTCAAGCTACCAAAATGTTCATTTTGCAAGAGGTATGAAGAACTTGTGCTTTATTTAAGGTTCATGAAAATCTGCACAAATGTCAGTGGCCAGTAGGGAGGAAAAATGTCATTTTCTATTTCATACGTTCTGCTATCCAAACAGATGGCCAGCTCATTTCAGCTGGTACCTACACCTTGGTGGTAACATGATTAAGGCATTCCTTCCTAATTTCATATGGTACCTTGTATCCTTTGGCATATTATTTTGCACTCTGTTTCCAGTGGTGTCAGAACGATTGGGAAGCAGTGGGCTGACTAGCCCTGGAACCAAGAATGTCCTGTCACAGCAGTATTTGTGGGTGACGCAGGTTCTTGCAGCAGATGCAGACTACAGTAAGCACTTTTGAAGGGCATTGTCTTTCTTTCTCCCTGTTTGCCAAGCTCTGGAATATATTTCTTAACATACATGTTGAAGAGCAGCTGAACATAATTTGCTAGACGTATTATTAGGACTATAAGATTTCTCTTTGCCAGTTTAATTTTCCTGTCAACGCTCTTTGCCGGAGATGGAATTTGAAGACAATGGAGAGATTGGTTGTGAAAAAATTCTCATATATTAAGCAAACATGCAGAGCTGTTTCAAAACCCAAGAAATGTCATACAGCTTAAATGCTAGTGTTTGAGTTAGCCTTGGATTTGTTCAGATCATTTTTAAATTACAAACTCGAACAATTTGGATGTGAACTTAACATTTTAATAGTACTTGTATCTTTTAGCTCTAATATTTTGAATTCTACACTTTAGAAAATGGTTGTAATGAAATTCTGGGTGTGACTAAGAACCATGTACAAACACTGTAACAGCACCATGAATACAGTTTCTTGTAAAACCACTTCTATAATAAGCTTAGCAGGAATTATGTGAATTAATACGAATTAAGGATTAGTTGATGCTATTGAGCCTGTTTGAATTGTAGCTCAGAGGAGATGCAGTATACTTGAGAATAATCTACTGTACATTGTATTTACCATTGTGCCATTTGTGACTGAAGCATGATGGCCAAAGTTTGTTTCATAACCCCATATCCTGCAGTTAATCTCATGGGTCAGTAAATAGTTTCCTTTTTGAGTATGTGAGCCATACTGATCTTTTTGGTGTGTTCTTGTCTTTGCAGAAGGACTCCATGAAAGATGACAGAAGAGGTAATTGTTATAGCCAAGTGGGACTACACAGCGCAACAGGACCAAGAACTTGACATCAAGAAGAATGAGCGTCTCTGGCTCCTTGATGACTCCAAAACATGGTGGAGGGTAAGAAACGCTTCCAATAAGATGGGCTACGTCCCGTCCAACTACGTGGAACGCAAGAACAGCCTGAAGAAAGGATCACTTGTAAAAAACCTTAAGGACACATTAGGTAAGCCTTTTAATGACCATAATATTATTTCTGTTGTTACTTTATGTACAGCACATAGTTATATTTAGAACCTGCATATGTTCAGAGTATATAGAAGTCATTTATGAAGCAAACTACTTCAAGCCAAGAGCTCTGTGGCTCAAAAGCATTGTATTAGTTACTATGGTTAATAAGTAGGCATATCAAATCAAATGTGTAAATAGAACTTTTTGTTTACGGTACTTTGGCCTTTATCATGCACTAAAAAATACTTAAATTATAAAACTCATCATGCATTCTGAAGTGAATAACTGTACCCTATCTGGAGGTTGCCTGTTGCCAAATAAGGGGCCAGTGTTGAAGTCTTGATAAGTGCATGCTGCTCTCAACTGCAAAAATAGCCTAGTCTTTTGATATTTGTCTTTGCTTGTGACTTTTTTCTCATGCCCCCAAGATCATTCTGTTTCCGCTACGCCTGCCAAGCAGCGTGCAGGAGAGAGACTGACCTGGGGGCTAGTCTGACGAGGATATCACACTGATAGCAGTGCGTTAAAATTAGTCATTCGAGTGAAAAAGGAGTGTCTGAAAGATGGCTCATATGACAAATGCCTCAATGACAGCAATGCACTTTTTTGAGTCACACATCATTACACTGTCGAGGTTGAAACAGTTGCTTCCAAAAGTTTGTGCTAAACCACAGCTGCAGGCTCCCAGTTTTTTCCGTTTTAGTAAACAGATTGTCACCAGCTACTACTACTACAGCTAATACTCAGTAGCACAACTCAGTTTCTGCTGCACAAAAAAAGCTAAAAAAAGGTAGTTTGAAGATACAAGCTATTTGAACCAAGGTAATCAATTAAAATATGCATTATATATGTAAGTTGAGGCTGAAAATTCAGATCTTATCCTCTTAAAAACTGAACCAGCCCAGATAAAACTTCAAGTGAACCTAGCTAAAATTTGGTCAGGTCAAAGTAAAATACAAATAATAGTGGTGGGAAAAAATCTCCTTCAAAGAAAAGTGGTTAACAGATTTCTAGCCTGTGTCTTGTGATTGTTATGTTAGAACTTAAAGTTAGTAAAATTACATCAAAGATTAAATTCTGAAAATGTGTTCTTTCTCAGAAAATACAGAAATACTTCATTTTTCACTACACAGGAGACAAAGTCACAGGAGACAATCAGTTGAACTAAGAGGGAGGCACTGTGAAAAAGTAACTGCAAAAGAAATACTTCTTGTTGTTTTATATTATGGCACCAAATTGGTGTTTCAGTTTTTCCATGAATTGTTTTGGATATGTGCTGGCCCAAATCGTTGTCATAACAATCCCTGGCATTCCTGACCCATCTCAAAATTCTATGAGGGTATGGGTTTGATCGGCGTTAAGTAGAGTTTGTGTGTAGGCCCATCTTTATACGTTTATGAAATATCTGAGTTATTTTTGTTAGGGATACTGATTTAGGCTACATTAAAATTCAAATTAGGATCTTGGACATATTGTCTACATGTATATATGAAAATAGAAAGAATGATGGGGAAAATTATTAAAAATGTTTTCAAAGTCTGCATGGTTTGCATTGAGATCTGCTATCTGAATTAATATGCTTTTAATACGTATAGGTTTTTGATGTTGGTACTTGGAAATGTACACCTCTGAAGTATTGTGCAGATCGGGACGCTGTTGATTCTGGGCCGTAGTTACATAACTGTATGATTGTTTTTGTAAGAATGGAGATGCTCTTCAAAAAACCATGTTATAATATTTAAAAGCAGTAAACCAAATGAATGTGAAGAATGAAAGAAATGAAATGAATGAAAGAACATTTTTTTCTGTAGTTTTGTAGTAAGAGTTTCAGCTCAAGAGGATTTCAGAGGAAATCATTGGTAACATTACAGAAATTGCAAAGCAGTGTTGATCAGTAGATTTCCTGGATTTGTGTTCTAGATCTTCCAACTATTGCGTTTTGATGTAAGGTTACATCCTACGTCACTTGTTTCTCCTCCTGTGTTGGCACAATGCACATGTAGCCTTACATTTTTTCTTAAAGGACACTATAGTGAAAAGTCGTAGATTCAGCATTTTAAGGATTCTTTTATAGCTGTCCTCCAACATATTGAAGGTCGATGACTGCTTGCCTGCAATCTTCAGAGTGATTTTGTACCGTAACCATGATGGTGCATGGTTATTAAACATAATAGTGTTGAATGTCTCCCATGTGTTACCTGTTTTGTACTTCAGGGAGACGGGAAACCTTTGCATATTTTGGGAGGCTCCTATTACACTTAAAATTGAAAATGTTATTATTGATTTGATTTTGAGGATTTTTATTTAAAGGAAATTGAATAAATAGAAACATTGTTTTTTCTGGAATTCATTTATGCCAAAAATCACTTTGTCATGTCCACTATTGTTATGATTACAGTGTATGATTATTAGAACTGTTTAAGAAAGGCACAATATCCAGTATGCAAAGAATTATTTTGCATGATGTTTGTTGTTCCTTTTTCTTCAGAGGTATGAATTATTTGGAGGGCATTGTATATTCCTCCAGTGGAAGATGGGTTGTTCTGCAGAATCGAGTCATTCTATAAGTCAGCAACATTGGTATCTATGACAAGTAGCTCTTAGCATTTACATTGAACTACAATGTAAATGTTTCCTTTTTTTGTAGGGGGTGTATCCTATCGTGTTTAATTGATATTAAGTGCATTTTGTCAGAGTCCTGACTTCAATTAATGTGAAATCCTGAAGCTTCTGCAAAGTTATTGAAAAGCAGTTTTGCTTGAGCTTAATGTGTAATTATCTTCTTGGACCATTTATCATATCAACTGTATGCTCCAGCTTTCCTATCGATCGGAAACAATTGCACTGTGAGATAAAGAATTTCCATTTCTTGGATCAGAATAATGAGATGCAGTCTTGAGTTTTCACCAAAGGAAAGGGCATGAGAATTAATTAGTGTTGCTGCAAGACAGTTTGACCTTGTAATGAAATCTCAGTGTTGACCTCAAGAGAACAATTAGGGTCGCTGCAATAAAAATATTTTTGGATAACTTCACCAGAACACAGCTCCATAAGAGGAACAATTAATGCTAGGAAACATTAAAGAACAAGAATACAGTCTGCAGTAGGAAATCTAATGGATTAGATACTATTCAAGATTTTTGGACAATATTTTTTTTAATGTATATTTCAATAGAACAATCAGCGTACTTGGTAGCACTCAAAGATAAATCTGTTTTGATTTGCGCCTTGTGACATTAAGAGTGTGCAACTTGCTCTAGGTTACGATGTGAAATTTTAAAAGCATTCCCTTTAAAATTACTTCTCAGTTGATTGTTTTGATGTTATGTGATACTGATATTGATAGTGTAATTCTGTTACTTTGAATAGTGAAATATGGCAGTAGCTTACCCAACAGAAATTTAAATATATCAAGTGTTCTATTTTTAGACATACATAGTCCTAAAAGAGTCAATACATTTAACATGAAATGGTAAGCTGTATAGTATGTCATTTTGGGATTCAAAATTTATAAAAAACTGATATGCTTTCTTTCATTACCTCACCAAGAAGTAGAATTGCTAGGCTCTTGTGTGCATTTAAATCAGATATGGGAATCTTCAGACCGTTCTGTAATAAGTTGACATATCACACTTTTAAGAACACTGTTAGGTCCTGGGGATTCAAATTTAGAATGCACTGTAGTGTAATATATTTAGAAAATCATTCACCAAGAAAGATTCTTTGGAAGGACTCCACAGAAAGCTGAATTATTCAGTGTCTTAGGCATAATACACACCTACCGTGAGTGTAAGGTTGTCATAACATTGAGGAAAAATTAAGTGTCATACAAGTGCACCACAGTGAAGGCAAAGCGTCTTTTCCATTCCATTTCCAGTGTTTATTAATGCTTTACCTAGAATGGATATTTCTATAAACATACTTTCTCATTAAACAAAGAGTTCTACCACTCTGACAAAAAGTTATTTATTTCATTTGTATGTTCACAACCCCAGAAAAAGTTATGCTCATCAAAACTAAATTAACAAGGCTGTAAATATTAGAGAAACTCAAAATATACAGAAAGACGGTAGAAAAACCCCAGACACAATCCATTTAGCCCAGACTTACTATTTTTGGATGGTAAAGTGTAATGCACTTAATTGGGTTAAACTGAGTATGCAAGTATGCTAATTGTTTAGTTTTTCCTTAATGACAGCAAGAGAGTTATAATGATTGCATTCAGATGAAGATTAGTCAAGGTTTGATCCCATCTGCACAAGCACTTTTTGCTCAACTTTGCTCAAGTAGTTTTTAAATGGCTCAGATCATCTGGTCTTTCGATGTATAAAATTAAAATGTGTGATGCTGTACAACAGGTCTATTTATATGACATCCATACAAATAGGATGCTGGATATCAATGTAGCAGCTGTTCTTGCATGATGAAGTCCTGGTAAATCCTGAAAGAGTTTAAGAATTTAATGCTGTGATTTCAGCATAACATGTTGACCTCATATCTAGAAAGCAGGCAATTAGTTTCTGAAGAATGTTATTATTATAGTAATTTACCTGTCATTTTTATATTTGACAGCCTTCACTCGTTCCACTTCTTTCAGAGATTAGAGTAAATCCAGAGATATTGATTTACTACGTTCAGTTTATATCTAGAGAAGCATAATAAATGAGTTTGACTTTTATGCTGTGCAAGCCATCCCATTGTTAAGATGAGATGCTCTTTTACGGTACGCATTTTGTTTACTGACATGCAAACAGTAAGGTTGAAAAAAGCTAGAAAGGGCTAGAGCTGTGTTTTTTATTCTGTCCAAAATGTCACTGGTCCAATATAGCTCTTACTTATTCTTATTTTAGGTTTAGGTATTGTTTTCTGACATTGTAATGGACACCTTCATCACTGTTTTTCTTTTGTTATATCATTCACATTTTCGGATATTCAACCTTTACCTTATCCACAGTGTCCAAAAGGTGTTAAAACACTCACCATAGTGGAACAAAA